TTGAATGTAATAATCCTTGTTTCATAAGTGAGAATCTTGAGGTAAAAGTAAGATAGATTATTGTGCCTAGGTTATTTGATTCTTTTGGCTGGATAATTAATAAGATAGTCCTGAGTTCTTTCCATATTACCCTCATCCCACATAATATCACCTACTTTTTTGCCTTCCTTTTGCTGGAAAACTCCTTGAAAGAGCGGTCTATGCTTACCTTTTCGAATCCCCCTCCTTCTTTTCTTTCTTGAACCCATTCCAGTCGGACCTTTGCCTCAGTCTCTCCATCTTCAGTGTCATCATCAAGGCCAAACACTTTGGCAGCTAGGTTTATCTATCAAACAATTCTTTTTGCTTATACAGAGAATCTAAAATAGTCAAACTCATAGAAGCAGGAAGCAGAACGGTGGTTGCCAGAGTTGGGGGAAGGAGAAATTGGGGAGGTGATTGTCAAAGAGGACAAAGTTTCACTTATGCAAGATAATCAAATTCTGGAGGCTTACTACTCTTCACAGTGCCTGTCATTAGCTGCTGTATACTTACAATTTGGTAGGAAGATATATCCTGGGTTAAGTGTTCTTACTACACATGTACATACAATAATAAAAGTGGTAAGAGCAAACTTTGGGACGTGATGAGTATGTCTCTTGATTCAATCGTGGTAATGGTTTCATGGGTGTATACTGATCCTCAAATTCATCAAGTTATAGATGTTAAATATGAGCAGCTTTCTGTATGTCAACCATACTTCAGTAAAGGAGTTTGAAAAAACACACACCAAATAATTGTGTTTCAAACAAAGCAGCCGCCTCCTTTAATGATATTTAATTGAGTCTAGTATGTACCACATATGTGTTTTAAGATCAGTGGCTGCAGCGTTACAGAAGCTAGACTGATTTGCCTCAACAGGATAGAGCATAAACAAAGTCCTCAGTTACCACATGGACTTTTCACCTGTCTGTGTTTACCACCGCAGTTACATCCTCTGGTTTTTGGTTAAGGTCTTGGTTGTGGACTATCCTTCCTTCCCATGTCTGTAAACTAATGGTTTGGAGGAGAGAAGTGCCCTTCTCTACAGATTTTATTGTTGTTATTTCCTCTGTAATTAAACTATTACTTCCACTGTAAACAAAGAAGTAGATTAAATTTATTGAATACCTACTATTTGCCAGATATGTTAAAATCAGAGATGAGTAAGATATAGGTCTTATCCTTATGGAGACAGTCTAATGTGGGAGATAAACATTTAAGAGCACGTCCTTTAGTATGATAAGTAAAATAATAGAGACTTGTACCAGTATGTGTTAACATGGCACAGTAAAGGAAATGACCCGTCTGATCAGGGAGGAAAGATATTGATCAAGAATAAATATATACACATAAACACACACATTTACATTTACAATTTACATTACATTATTATTATTGTTGTTGTTTACATGAACTGACTTCATGTCAGTGGGAGCCTATTTTCTTATGGTCCAATGTTTTTAGTGCTGGAACAACTGCAGTGTGAAAACAAGTGCTTGGCAATAATAGAAGTCACGAGAATAAGGAATGGGTAAACAGTGAATTATTTTCTATGTTAAAGACAGTCTGGCTTCTTGTGGTTGGTAATTCAGTTGCTTATTAATGTTCGTTTATTTATTTAAAAATTTTTTTAAATGTTTTACTTATGGGGCACCTGAGTGGCTCAGTCAGTTAAGCGTCCGACTTCAGCTCAGGTCATGATCTCACGGTTCATGGGTTCGAGCCCTGCGTCAGACTCTGTGCTGACAGCTAGCTCAGAGCTTGGAGCCTGTTTCAGATTCTGTTTCTCACTCTCTCTCTGACCCTCCCCTGCTCACACTGTCTCTCTCTCTCTGTCTCTCTCAGAAATAAATAAACATTGGGGCACCTGGGTGGCTCAGTCACTTAAGCATCTGACTTTGACTCAGGTCAAAATCTCACCGTTGGGGGGTTTGAGCCCCATGTTTGGCTCTGCACTGACAGCTCAGAGCCTGGGGCCTGCTTTGGTTTCTGTGTCTCCCTCTCTCTGCCCCTCCCCCCACTTCAAAAATGAATAAATGTTTAAAAATTTAAGAAAAAAGAAATAAATAAAACATTAAAAATTAAAAAAAATTTTTTTTAAATATTTTACTTATTTTTGAGAGAGAGAGAGAGATAGAGACAAAGTGTGAGTGGGAGAGGAGCAGAGAGAGAGGGAGACGCAGAATCTGAAGCAGGTTCCAGGCTCTGAGCTGTCAGAGCCCAACGCAGGGCTCGAACTCAAGGACCATGAGATCATGACCTGAGTTGAAATCAGACACTTAACCGACTGAGCCACCCAGGCACCCCAATGTTTGTTTATTTTTGATAGAGAAAGCGTGTGCAGGGGAGGGACAGAGAGAGAGGGAGACAGATGATCTGCTCACAGCAGAGAGCCTGATATGGGGCTCAGACTCACAAACCATGAGATCATGATCTGAGCCAAAGTTGAACGCTTAACTGACTGAGTCACCCACCTGCCCTGGTTTGATCCCTTTTCTAAGGAGAATTGTTCTGTGGATAGTAAAAGTAATAGTATTTCCATTATGACAGAGGTGTTTTTCTCAGGGCCACAGTTAATACATAATGTATACTTTAAAAGTCATACACAAATATAAATGAATCTGTAATCAGTCAGACAGAGGGAGATGAATACTGTATGATCTCTCTTATATGTGGAGAGCTAATAAATAAACAAACAAACCAAGCACAGAGGTACAGAAAAGAGATTGGCAGTTATCAGAGGTGGGGCATGGAGGTGAGAGTAATGGGAGAAGTGTTTTTGTTTCGTTTTGTTTTTAGTTTAAATACATTGCATACAAGTAATATTAAAAGTCATACACAAATATATGTGAATCTATCCCACACTGTTGGGAAGTACACTGGACCTTTGGCCACATTCTTATCTTGTGGAGCCAGAAGACAATTCCTTTTCAAAGGAGAGCATTCTCAAGATGAGGATCTGCCTCCATTCATCTCAGTGAGTACTTGTAGGAAGGATCCACTTGTAGAAAGGATCCAGAATCTATAAGGAACTCACCAAACTACACGCCCGAAAAACAAACAACCCAGTGAAGAAATGGGCAGAAGATATGAACAGACACTTCTCCAAAGAGGACATCCAGATGGCCAACAGACACATGAAACGATGCTCAGCATCCCTCCTCATCAGGGTAATGCAAATCAAAACCACACTGAGATACCACCTCACGCCAGTCAGAGTGGCTAAAATGAGCAAATCAGAGAACTCTAGATGCTGGCGAGGATGTGGAGAAACGAGCACCCTCCTACACTGTTGGTGGGAATGTACACTGGTACAGCCCCTCTGGAAAACAGTGTGGAGGTTCCTCAGGAAACTAACAATAGAACTCCCCTAGGACCCAGCAAGAGCACTGCTAGGAATTTACCCAAGGGATACAGGAGTGCTGATGTATAGGAGCACATGGACCCCAATGTTCATAGCAGCACTCTCCACAATAGCTAAAACATGGAAAGAGCCTAAGTGTCCATCAACAGATGAATGGATCAAGAAGATGTGGTTTATCTATACCATGGAATACTCCATGGCAATGAGAAACAATGAAATCTGGCCATGTGTAGCAACATGGATGGACCTTGAGGGTGTTATGCTGAGCGAAATAAGTCAGGCAGAGAAGGACAAATATCATATGTTTGCACGTATAGGAGGATTAGGAGGAACTTGACGGAGGACCAAGGGGGAGAAGAAGGGGAAATGGTGGGGGAAAGGGAGAGAGGCAAACCAGGAGAGACTCTTGAATGCTGAGAACAAACTGAGGACTGATGGATGTGGGGGGGAGGGGGGATGGGCATGGAGGAGGACACTTGTGGGGATGAGCACTGAGTGTTATGTGGAAACTAATTTGACAATAAACTATTTGTAAAAAAAAAAAAAAAAGAAAGAAAGGACTGGGTATCTTTGTTCCCTGTAATTGCCCTGGCTTGAACTCCTTATGTTTAGATCATTTAAGTAGGAACCCACCTGGTTTTCTGCTTCCATTTTCTCCTTCAGCTTGTCTTTCTAATCCATTCTCTGCATTCCTACCAAACTTTTAGTTCTAAACACAAGTACACTTTTGTTACTCTGCTTCACCAAATTCTTTATGGCCTTCCATTTGCCCATAGTGTGAGGTGCACATTCTTTAAGACTGTTATGTGAGGTGCCTTGTCATTCAGTAACAGACTTGCCTTCTAGCATCATCTCCCACCGTGTCTTTCTACCTTGTCTGTACTCTGGCCGTATCAGTTATCTTGTCATATACCAACTGCAGATGACCCCCTTTATCACCATTTAACATGCTGCATATTTTTGTGTTTCTCTAACTCCTTCTCTTAAATGTAAGCTTCATCACATGGATAATGATTTTTGCCTTTAGATCAACTGCTGTATTTCTACCACCTTGGAACAGCACCTTGCACATAGTAGATGCTTAGGGTAAATTTGTATGCATGAATGAGTTTTTTAAAGCTGACCTATCTTTATATAAGTAAATATATCGGGATTAATATTTAGTGCTTCCTCTGCGCCAGAAACTGCTTCTGTCACTATTTTTTGGTCAGGTTGAGAATTCTGTTTCTCACATTAAAAAAGAAGATGTTTTTGTTTGTTTTATTCAGAGCATTAGAACATTGGTGGATAATCAGATATTGGTAGGGAAGAGTAAGTTATTGTTAATGACTTGCTTCGGCAAGAATATGATGCAATGGATATATTGAGAAATTATATTCTAGGTAACATCTTTCTTTAAGTGAGGAATAAAAAAATCAAGTTGTCTTCCTTCAACAGCTGGTCTATAAACAGAAATCCCTATGTAGCTGAACCATTTAGTTTTCCTTATGTTCTGTGATCATAAATACTGAATTACCACAGATTGCATGAAGAGCAGATTTCCACCAGGAAAAAAAAAAGGTTGTTTCTTTTTTTAGGTTGCTAATTTTTTTTTTCTATTCACATTTATTTCAAGTTGCAATTCAGTGCTTGGAGACAGTTTTTAAAATCAGCCCAGAAGATACTCATCTAGCGGTTTCACAGCCTTTGGCAGAAATGTTCAGCAATTCCTTCTGTAAGGTAACCTGTCACTGTTTTCTCCGTGGTATCTGATTAAGTAGAACTATAATATTCTATTGAGTTCTTAATATTTGAGGGGCCAGGCCTTTAAGTAACTGACTTCTTCCTGGGTGTAAGGTAGATAGTTCACATGGATATGATGTAGGAACTAAAATGTAACTCTTTTAATGTACTTTTAGATTTTCATATTAGTAGCTCTTCTCATTCTTTCACCTTCTTTTATATTTAGTGGTACGCTTTTTAAGTCCTTCACGGTATCTGAGCATTTTTAGATTTCTGACATCTGAATTAACATTCCCTTAAAGCATGGAATACAAGATAAAAACAAAATTTTCCTGTTTACGAAGCAACTATGTAGAAATAGATTCATCGGGAGTTGAATCATCCCGTTGAACCAGGTGTCATCAAATTTGGCCATTGTAAGCGCTCTTTAAAACAGGAGAAGGTTCGGGCTCAGTGTGCAAACCCAACACCGAAAACCGGGTTTCTGGCGCCTGCCCTTGAGTACTGTTTCCATGGTCTCTGGTTCTGGCCTTTTCAGGGAACGTGACCATAAATCTGAAAAATTTTCAGGAGACTGAGTTTAGGGCCCCAGGGTGATTTCCCAGGCGTTTTTTGGCTACATTTTGATGCCTCATGAACTCATTTTGTTATTCTAGTTCTGTATTCAAGCTTCAGTACAGAAGGAGGCACTCAGGAGAGAGGCTGAATCATGGAGTGTATATTTAAGCCTGGCAGGGACACTGCTGAGAATACCACATTGACTGTTTCTAGAACTTGTGAGAAGAGATTCTGAGAGTTGCAGTGAAGATGGCAATTTGGCAGTAAACTGTTCTCTTTTTCTATTCTTGGAAAAAGAATAACGCAGTTATCACACAGATGAATTCTAATTATATAACGAAGATGTAAGGGTTCAGTGACGTGTCTCTGCACTCCTCATCAGAGAATTCCCTTTTTCTTCACTCCGGTTGCTATGGCTCTTTCATTGCCTGGGCTTCCGGCCTCCTCAGGGAACCCCATTTCAGTGGCTGGACATGCCCGAGGCTCAAGCCGACCTTCTTTAACTCCCAGAAGCCTGCGAGGCCTGTGCTGAAGACAACACTTGGATGTGCTCACTCCTTAGTTCCTGTCCCTGTTGACCTAGTACTGAAGAGATCAGAATTTTTCTTTACCTCCCAGAAAGCTCAAATTGACTTTTGTACTGTTTAAATAGGACTCTTTTTTTGTGTGTGTGCCTCTCTTACTATTTCTCTCTGTATTTAATTGTAAACATTTTTTACTTGATATTTTTAAAGTATAATTTCTTAAAACGGGCTCCGTTGTGTATCCGCATAGTGTTATTTGTGGTATCACTCCTTTGTTTGCTCTATTTAACAGCAGCAACTTCATTACATATGTGTTTGTTAGCAGAGTACAACAGACAGGGTCTAAAACTTGCCTAGAACAGCATAAGATTGTCGTAATTAAAGAAGTTATTTGTCTCCCTCCAGCCATAAAAAAGAATGAAATTTTGCCATTTGCAACAACATAGACGAAGCTAGAGTATAATGTAAGTGAAGTAAGTCAGTCAGAGAAAGACACATCCCATATGATTTCACTCATGGGGAATTTCGAAAACAAACAAGCAAAGGGAAAATCAAAAAGGGGGACAGAGACAAACCCAGAAGAAGACTCTTAACTACAGAGAACAAACTGCTGCCTACCAGAGGGGAGGTGGGTGGGAGGATGGAGAAAATAGGGGATGGAGATTAAGGAAGGCATTTGCTGTGACGATCATCTGGTGAGGTATAGAATTGTTGAATCACTATACTGTACACCCGAAACTAATATAATATTGTATATTAACTAATTGGAATTAAAATAAAAACTTAAAAAATTTTAAATTATTTGTCTCAACAAGTGTCCATGGTTGTTAGGTCTGTCATTTTAGTTTCAGGATACTGGTCTTCGTCTTCTGTTTCCTCCCCCACCCCCCATTAAATTTATATACTAAATGGATTCATTTCTTTTATATAAAGCAGGTAACACTCATACCCACATTGTGGCCTGCTCAAATACATTTAATGAATGTATTTCAAAGTTCTACAACCATGGTGATTTCATTTAAAAAATTCAGAAGAATTTAGAAGACAGAATGGATTAGAATCCATTTCTTAATATGCTATTTTTCTGGCTCAAAAAGTCACTCCCCCACTCCCTGCATTAACTACCCAGGCTTCTTAGAAAAATGTAAAATAGAAGAAACCCTGAAAGCAAGCACTGCAAGTCAATAATGTGTCTTTGAACTACACTTATATTCCATGAAACTCCAGCCAGTTTTAAGTAGTGACCTCTAGTTGTAAGGATTCCTATTTGGATTCTATTTTTATTCTAATACTTTATGTTTATAAAAACTGATTATATAGAAAGATTTAAAAAAGAACAACTCAGATACTTTATTAATGATTTTGTACTTGTGAATATTTTTGTGTGTAATTAGCAACGTATATTTCCATAGTTGCAGCTGTCAAGTTTATTGAGACTTTAGTCAAGAGAAATATAATGGTTAGGGATGCCTGGGTGGCTCAGTCACTTAAGGGTCCAACTCTTGGTTTCAGCTCAGGTCATAATCTCATGAATTTGTGGGTTCTAGCCCCACACTGGGCTCTATGCTGACAGTGTGGAGCCTGCTTTGGATTTTCTCTCTACCTCTCTCTCTACCCCTTCCCCACTCATGCTTCTCTGTCTTTTTCAAAATAAATAAATGGTGGATATATTCTAAGTGTAGTGTATAGGTATATTAGCTACAAATTAAGTTTTCTTGAAAACTGTAGACTTATTCATGAACTTTAGAGTCAAGTGTAAAAGAAACAGAAGTTAGAAAAGACCTTTCAAGGGGTACCTGGGTTGCTCAGTCAGTTAAGCCTCCGACTTCGACTCATGTGATGATCTCACCTGTCGTGGGTTCAAGCCTCATTCGGGCTCTGTGCTGGCATCTGTGTCCGATTCTGTGTCTCCCTCTCTCTCTGCTCCTCCCCTGCTTGCCCTTTGTCCTTCTCTCAAAAATAAATAAACATTAAAATAAACTTTTTTAAAAAAAAAGATCTTTCAAAAATGGGAAAACACACTGTGTTCCAATCGCCACTCAAGATATTTCTAAATGCCCCTTTGGTTTGAACATTAGTAATGCAAAAGAGGTTTGAGGATGATAGTAGCTACTGAAAACAGGAAATTTACATTGCCTTTTTAATGATAAATTAATATATGTCCACTTTTAAAAAATCGGTCAACATGGAAAGATAGAAAGAAGAAACTGAAAACTTTACCTCTAAATATTACTGTTAACTTTTCTCATTAGACCTTTCCTGTCTTTGTTTTTTTAGCCTGTGTGCATGTCTATGTGTACATGCACATATTTAAATAACAGGATCATATGATTAATGCTTCTTTTTATAAACTGTGAATTTGACTTAGGATATCTCTTTGCATATTAAACATTATGCTTCAAGGTTTTTATTAATATAAATAATCTCTTGAATATATTTCTATTCCTATTCTTTGTATACTGATTATTTCTACTTGTTGTTCATGAAGTAGGGTTTTTTCATAGAGGAAAAGCAAGTAAAAAATTTGATTCACATTAGCTTGTTATCTTCTAGAAAAATTCTAGGTGTTCATTTTTCTAAAAAAGTGTGTGAGAGGACCTTTCCTCTATTTCTTTGTAACCACTATTACTTACAGTCAGATTTCATCATGTGTAATTATAGGTGATTTACTGTAATACAGTTTATTTATTATTTATAGTTCTATGGTATGACTTTTTTGTGCAGGCAGATGGAAACACTATACATTGATTTTTATTTAATTTCAGAATGACATTTTGCCTCTCTCAAACTCAGTGCCTGAAGATGTGGGAAAAGCTGACCAATTAAAAGATGAAGGTGAGTGTTTCATAGAGAAATTACTATTTAGTAAAACTTCATGAAACTCTGGAGAAAGCAACCCTGTCATTTGGTAAGAATCTGTTTTACACTGCCAAGTCTCACTGTCATAAGTCCACATGGTATTTTTGAAACACAAATGAATGTGATATGGAAGAAGCCTGGAAACCTAGAGTGGCTTGTGGGCAATAATATAGTTATGCCTTGCTTCAAGAGAAGCAGATCTGCTGTGAATAAAACTTGCAAAACAAGTAACTTAAGGGGTGATTACTTATAACTGAATTTGCTGAATGTACTCTGGGATTCCAAATTCTTTTTTATGAACAGAGGAATATAATTTTCAGTGTTAATTTAACTTTTGTTTTTTTTTTTAATTTAACTTTTGTATATAGTGTTTTTGAGTTCTTTGATATTTATTAATACATGTACGCATGTGGTGCTTGACTTAAGTATTTATTACCACATTTGACTACTACATTATTATAGTTTTCAGTACTGGCTCTTGAGTCATTTTTGGTTTCAGTAAGTTGCTGTTGAGATCTGTGTTTAATTTTTTCTGTCATGTCATTATGTTAAACTATAGAGGAGAGTTAGGTCAGGCGCACACAAGATTTGTACTAAGAAGTTCTAGGGTAGAGTCTTGTATTAGCAGTAAATGAGAGCCACAACATTCCGTGTCATATAGGCAGAGATTTATTAGGGAATATGCCACATTCAGAAGCTATACAAAATTGGTTCAGAACCATTTCCTGGACTTGAAACTGAAGAAAGCAGTTTAGTTAAAAGCAAAACAAAACAAAAAAACCACAATCACTTCATGTCTAAAAAGGTAGATATGGAAGAGAGTATGCTTTTCCTATTTCTTGGGTCTTACCCTCTCTATTAAATTTTTATTATAAGTATACACCTATATCACTGTTTTTTTTTTATTTTTTTTTTAATATTTTTTATTTATTTATAGGAGAGAGAGAGAGAGAGACAGCGTGAGCAGGGGAGGGTCAGTGAGAGAGGGAGTCACAGACTGAAACAGGCTCCAGGCTCTGAGCCGGCAGTCAGCACAGAGCCCAACGAGGGGCTCGAACCCACAAACCGCGAGAACATGACCTAAGCGAAAATCAGACGCAAAACCGACTAAGCCACCCAGGCGCCCCTGTTTTTTTTTTTTTAAATATGTCACTTCTTTCATTGGCTGCATAGTGCTTCATAGTACTGATAGACCATGATTTACCTACCTAACCAGATAATTTTGTAACCTTAGATAACATTGTCTTAATACCTTTGTCTATATTTTTACTGTTATGTGATTATCTTCACGGGATTACGTTATGAAGTTCTGTATTTCCAACAAATAGGCTGATTTCAATTTTCAATTTCTTACTTCCTCTGAGAAATTATACTATTCTAGTGGCTTAAAATTATAGAAGAGTATGACTTTCATAAATTACATGCGAAATTAAGTAACAACTAGCTCCTTGTTTTCATTTGAATTAACAGTAATCCCCAAAGAGTTTGAATTTAAACTATCTAGATGGAAGTGCATTTTTCATATGTTTAGTTTCCAGTTGAAACAATTTAATCTGATGTTTTCTTCCCTCGCTCTGAGTTTTGTAGTGTGTGAAATCCTCAGTGATGCAGTGTATTTTCCATTATGCTTGCTTTTAAAGCTCTCTTGGTTTAGGTCTAGTAATGATATTGAATAAATGGAAAATTGAGATTTTATTTTTGGCCCTCGTGTTTGCTCCCTCTGCATGCAGAACACTGGGAGATTGCATTCCCCACAGAGTTTGCTTTGATGTAATGAATGTTGGTAAAATGAGGATTAGGAGAATATGCAGGCTGAGACTCATTTACTGCTCCAGCATGGGTAACTGAATTACTTACTGCTTTCCCCTTTAACCACAAAAGATTTTGTTCTTTTTGTTTCTTTTTTTACTATGAGAGGGAGAGAGAGAGAGAGAGAGAGTGAGAGAGTGAGCATGTGCACGACCAGGGGGTGGAAAGGGGACAGAGGCAGAGAGAGAGAGAGAGGGAGAGAGAGAGAGAGAGAAAGAGAGGAAGCGAGAATCTCAAGTCGGCACCAGGCTCAGCACAGAGCCTGAAGCAGGGCTCGACCCCACAACCCTGGGATCATGACCCGAGCAGAAATCAAAAGTCAGACTTGTCACATCTGAGACATATTACAAAGTTAAAGCAATAGTTACTTTATACAGGTTTTTATTCATATGAACACTGATGGGTGCTGTAGTTTGTCAAGAATAAGGTTTTTCCAGGCTGCCTGTTAACACTTGTCTGTGTTCATCAAGGGTTCTGGCCAGGTGGTACCTTCCTAGAAGGTGTCTTTCAAATATTTTTGTGTGCTTCATTTGTAAAGAGTTGCAGTAAGTTGAGACAAAACCAAGATGGTTTCATTTGGTGATTCCCTGACACATCACAAAAATATGGACATAATTTGTAGGTTGTCTTTTTTTTATATTTATTTTTGAGAGAGAGAGACAGAGAGACAGAGAGAGACAGAGAGACAGAGAACGAGTGAGGAAGGGGCAGAAAGAGAGGTAGACATAGAATCCAAAGCAGGCTCCAGGCTATGAGCTGTCAGCACAGAGCCTGACACAGGGCTGGAACCTATGAACTGTGAGATCATGACCTGAGCTGAAGTCGGACACTTAACTGACTGAGCCACTCAGGTGCCTCTTATAGGTTGTCTTGATAATTAAAGGAGACAATTTTATAGGAGAGTGCCACATAAGTATAAAGTGCTATACAGTGTTCGGTTATATTTATCTTTACAAATTTCTGGATTTGTTTTTTTAAGAAAATTTTTTTATGTTTTATTCATTTCTGAGAGAGACAGAGAGACAGCATGAACAGGGGAGGGTCAGAGAGAGAGAAAGATAAAGAATCTGAAATAGCCTCCAGGCTTTGAGCTAGCTGTCAGCACAGAGCCCGATGCGAGGCTCGAACCCACGAATGGTGAGATCATGACCAGAGCCCAAGTCAGACGCTTAACTGACTGAGCCACCCAGGTGCCCCACAAATTTCTGCATTTGTGTCCTGAATATTTGCATATTGGATATTTTGTGACTTGAGGCTTATTGTTAATATGTATAAATATATACATAGTATATATATATATATAGTGTATAAACAATATAGTTTGTAGACTTTTGGTAGGGTGGTTTATAAGAAAATACATACAATAGATTTTAATAATAATTATTATTATAATAATACCACTCTACTACCAAATGATCTGTCACAGCTGCTAACTCAGGAAAGGAACAGGTGAGCTCTGGCACTGGGGCCAGCTGCTCTGTCCCCTGGAATCTCAAGGGGGCTGAAGAGTCAGAAGCACAGCTCCTGGCTGGGTTTGCCAACGCTCTAGCTGAACAAACTCAGATAAACTCCTAAACTCATTGCAAGAGTAGCCAAAAACTCAGGAGAGGAGGGTTTGGGAAAGAGAAAGGAGAAATTTACATTGCGTCCCAGCAGCCAGGGAGGTGGCAGTCTCAAGCCTTTATGAGTAACCACCTCTCTGCCCACAAGATGAACACCTAGAGTTTTACAGGCAGAGGTTAAGAGGGGTATGAGCTAGAGAGCCCGGAGGTAGTATGTGATCACAGCTGGGGATCAGAATGTTTTCAGCACGTATCTAGGGCAGGGAAAGGGACTTGAGGGGTGTGGTCTTCTAGGCATGACCTTGCTATCAGGGCTTTTCTACGCCTAGCAGTTGGAATGTTCTGTCATTGCACAACACCTTCATCATTGCCTCAAGAAAGTGTGATAAGAAATAAGAACAATGGATTTTTAGAGCATGAGTTAAGTAGTCTTGTCATTTTCTGGTGTTAACTGTTAGGGTGTATAGTTGAACAACAGGGCACCATAAGATCCCCAAGACAAAAAGACCCAAGAACAACAGGAAAACCCAGTTTTTTTTTTTTGTTTTTGTTTTTGTTTTTTTTTTACATGGGTTAAGCAAATCTATTTCAGTACCTTGGCTCATGTAGTTAATTTCTTGCTCTATCATAAAAACTATGTAATCCTCTTAGCTTCTTTAGAGGCTTTATATTCATTACTTTTGGGGGGTGGGGATCTAAATTAGTTTTTTAAATTATAAAAACATCTTTATTGTAAATAAAATTTGCTCCTTTGAAGTGTACAAATTCAGGGGTGCCTGGGTGGCTGGCTCAGTTGGTTAAGCGCTGACTTCTGTTCAGGTCATGATCTCATGGCTGATGAGTTCCAGCCCTGTGTCCGGCTTTGTCCTGATGGCTCAGAGCCTCCAGCCTGCTTCAGATTCTGTGTCTACCTGTCTCTCTGCCCTACCCCTGCTTACACTCTCTCTCTCTCTCAAAAATAAACCTTAAAAACAAATTTTTAAGTGTACAAGTTCATTGGTTTTGTAGTATATTTACAGAGTTGTGCAGCCATTACCACAATGACAGAACACTTTTTAAAGCAAGGTGAAGGTCTGTTTCTTTTTTTTATGTTTATTTACGAGAGAGAGAATGAGCAGGGAAAGGGCAGAGAGGGGGAGAGAGAATCCCAGGCAAGCTCCCCACTGTCAGAACAGAGCCCGACTGTGGAGTTCGAACCCAGAACAGTGAGATCATGACCTGAGCTGAGATCAAGAGTCTGATGCTTACCCAACTGAGCCACCCAATCACACTTCATTTTTTATTCTTAATTTGCAGTAACTTTGGCATACTTTTAGATCCTTCTGTCAACCTGCCTTCCCTTTAATCTTCCTATTCCTGTTCCCTGAAAGTTACACTCTCCTCCTCTGGTTAAGTAGCTAAGGATCTATTAAAAGCCAAAGCTAATAGATCTTCTAGTTTAGAGAAAGCTTGGAGGAATAACCGAGGCTTTTGTGATGTAAATCCTTCCTCTTAATCCCAGTGTTTTAAAATATCAAATTGTACAGTGGTTCTTATCAGTGAGCAGGACACATTTTTCCCTTTAATGGAATACAAAAGATAGCCAACAGGAAATCCCCGTATTTTGCTGACTAGTTGTTAATTCTTTCTAGAAATTAATGCCCAGCAGTCCCCTTTAAGAAATCTATCTCTGGATGGGGTAGCACAAAAAAATATGATCTTCCATGATCTTATTTACGTGATTAATTTTACTAGCTTCTCCATACAGCAGAGTTCTGAGATTTGGGCTATTCAGTAGGGTTTTTATTTTTGATTGTTTGTTTTTTGTTTATATATCTTGAGAGAGAGAATGTGGGAGGGGGAGAGAAAGAAGGAAAGAGAATTCCAAGCAGGCTGCACACTGTCAGCCTGGAGCCCAACTCGGGCCTCAATCCTATGAACCTTAGCCTAAATCGAGTGTCAGATGCTTAACTGACTGAGACACCCAAGTGCCACATAGCAGTGGTATGTTTTGACAAGGGAAGGAGTAGATAATGAGATGATGATTGAGAAGGGAGTTGCATCTGGAAAAGGGTGGGCAGCTCTCAAAGGAAGGGGGGAGATGAAGATACGGAAGGTGAGAAGAGATTAGATTTTGCCATGAGATATTCATAATCATTGCATTTACTCACTTATTGAAAACCCTGGATTTAATAAGGTATACAAACATTAATAGTTTTAAGACTTTACATTGTTAAAATCATTCAAACACACTGATGGCTAAGGAGTATCAACTGTACAGTAAAATATAAAATTTATCTCTAGTGCCACTGACAAATCCTGTTGACAGGGTGCCTGGCTCACTCAGTTTGTAGAGCATGCGACTCTTGATCTCAAGGTGATGAGTTCAAGTCCCATACTGAGGGTAGAGTTTACTGAAAAAATAAAGAGAAGAAAAATCACATTGCTAACCTTCATATTATTGTAGTTTTCTATGATTAAAATGTATCTTTCAGACTTTTGTGTGTGTGTGTATTGTGCTTACGGTACGTATTGATTACTTTAGGCAATAACCACATGAAAGAAGAAAATTATGCTGCTGCCGTGGATTGTTACACACAGGCGATAGAACTGGATCCAAATAATGCAGTTTATTATTGCAACAGGTAAACTGGCACTGTTGTGGGGGGTTTACAGTTCTCAAACTAATTTGTATCAATAGCACTGAAAATTTATTGTGAAATAAATTTACTTTGTAAAACTTACTTGGAAAATTTGAAAATTCAGGAAAGTATAAACAAGGAAATATAACCCATAAAATCACCATTCAGAGATAGTCACTGTTATTAATTAACCTGTGGCATATTTTGTTTGATGTCACCAATTTTAGATTCATTGTTATTCAGGAGGTATATCATAAACATATCCTTATTTTCTTGAAACTTTTGATAAACAATCTTTAAATGGATACAAATTAGTCTATTATTACCTCTTAATCTTTTTTATATTTCTAGCACCTATCATTGTGGCTGGCAAACAAGCACTAGTTATTTTTTAATAAAGGTATAAATGTACCTTATTATTTTTTAATGTACTTTATATAACTCCTGATCTACTGGTAGACTTTGAGATTGTTCCTTTTTTTTTTTTTTCTATATGATGAAGTTGCAATGAACTCTGTTTCTCAAATTATTTTCTGAAATTCCGATTTTCTGGACTTTTGAGTTTATCTTTGGAACTGCATTCAGTTGATTTAACAGTGTAAACATTATAATTTGTTGATGCTAATTGCAAAATTGTTCAAACTTGTTTGAAAAATTATGAAAATTGATTTCCTTCCCTGGAAGTATATGAGCGTATCTGGTTTTACCACGTCCTTATCAGCACTAAGTACTTGAGTTGCTGTTATTTATTGTTAATTTAATATTTTTATTTTAGTAGGAATTGTTCTAATTTATATTTAATTACTGGTAAGGTTGGACATTTTTCAAACGATGGCCATTTGTGTGTGTGTGTTTGTTTTTTCTTAAAGTTATCTCTTTGTACCTGTGCCAGGCCTTAGCCTGTTTGACTGCATACTTCCTTCTTTCCCTGTTCTACCCTTTTTAAATAGAGGGTCTGATCCCTAGAGTCGACATTTCCCAGGCCCCTTTGTCACCTGAGTTTTGTCTAGGTTCAGCCACAGAAGGTTCTGGCAAGAGATTGGAAGGGAGAAGGCGGGTTTTTATTCATCTTTTTACATCAAGGTATTTATCTAGCAGGGGCTGCTTCTCATCCTTGTCTCCAGCTCCCACCCAAGACACCTGCTATGGTCACAGCTTTGGCCAGGTGATGTTGGCTTTTGGACTCTGCACTTGGTCCTGCATCTTAGGGATGGTTATGGCTCCTGCTGTCCCTCATCTCTGGATTGCTGCACAACTCCCTGTTTGGCATTTTAGCTCTTCCATCAACTGTGTAATGAATTCCCTGAACTAAAATAATCTGTTTTAAATATTAAAGTTCCAGTAGTACTCTCTGCAATGGTGGAAATGTTCTATATCTGCATTGTTCCATATAGTAGCCACTAGCCAGAGTGGCTTTTGACCACCTGACATGTGTCTAGTGCAAATGAGAAAGTAAATTTGTAGTGTTGAATTGATTGAAGATCAATTAAAACATTTTTTTTTACATTTATTTATTTTTGAGAGATAGGGGCGAGTGGGGGAGGGGCAGAGAGAGAGGACACACAGAATCCCCAGTGGGCTCCAGGCCCTGAGCTGTCAGCACAGAGCTTGACACGGGGCTTGAGCCCACAAACAGTGAGATCATGACCTGAGCCAAAGTCGGATACTCAACCCACTGAGCCACCCAGGTGCCCCAGATTGAAGGTCAGTTTAAATTAAATTAAATTTCAGTAGCCACATGTAGCTTGTGGCTACTGTCCTGTACAGCGTAACTGTATATTAAAGATATAATCCATTTGTTCTAATTGCATAGCTTCCTATTTGCCTTCTAATGTTTTTCATATGTAAAGCTCTTAAATATTTGTGTAGACAAGTTTGTTTTTTCTTTCTTTTGAATTTCATTCCAGTATTTTTAAGTCTTCTTTATTTACTTAAACTCAAGTTAGTTAACATACAGGGGAGGATTGGTTTCAGGAGTAGAGCCCCGTGATTCATCACTTACTTATAACACCCAGTGCTCAACCTAACAAGTGCCTTCCTTAAAGCCTATCACCCATTTAGCCCATCCCCCCACCCAACCCTGCCAGCAACCCTGTTTAAGAGTTTGCCGTGTTTCTAGTCTTCAAGTTTTCCCCACTTGCAGACCTGACAAATAACTTTTCTTATTTTTCCTTCATATTTAAATTATATCATTGCAAGTCTCTTCTGGTGAATGGTATCTATTTTAACCAATTTGAAACCTCATATGGCAGAGATCTCTAAAAACTACCTTTTGTTATATAGTAAATTCTTAGATTTGGAAGAGATATTTAATTTGGTCTAATCTTTCATTGAGTTATCCTTATCCTATTTAGGGTATTCATGCCCTTCTGAGATCGTCCCTTGTCCCCTGCCTTTTCTTTTGTTGTTCTGTCTTTTGGGATAGTCTTACTTATGTTGACACTGAATTTGTTTTCCTGAAGCCCTTGTAGCTAATCTCAGTTGGCAGTTTCTATTTTTAATCTTAAGGGCAATTACAGAATAATTATGATCTTTCTTTTCCATGATAATACCTTACATTTTTAAGTTTGCTACCATATTCATTTGAGTTCTTTTCTCCACCTTATATATTTGCCATTTTTAATGGCAATATACCTCAGGTAATACAGCTTGAAGTTCTGCACTTTTGCTCTAAACTCGTTCCAGTTTACCTGTATCTGTTTACTGTGTGGTTCCCAGAAATTTACACAGCATTTCCGGAATTGGTCTGACCACAAGCAGCCTTGTAGGGTTCTCGTTTAACCTACTTGTAGATAACATCGTTATATATTAGCATTTTATTTATTTATTGTTTTGAAGAACCCTGTTTTATTTTTTATTTTTTATAGTTTATTTTTTTTAGACAGAGACAGAACATGAGCGGGGGAGGGGCAGAGAGAGAGGGAGACGCAGAATATGAAACAGGCTCCAGGCTCTGAGCTGTCGGCACAGAACCCGATGTGGGGCTCGAACCCACGAACCAAGGGATCATGACCTGAGCCGAAGTCGGATGCTTAACTGACTGAGCCACCCAGGCACCCCTATATTAGCATTTTATAGCATTATTTATTAAATTAATATTTTGCTTTTGTTTTACTAACGTGTCTCTTCTTCACACATTCTCTGTATCCTGTCATTCAATCGCATTTTCATGCGGTAGGTTCTTGCAAATGTGGTAGGCTCTTGCCAAACACCTGCTGTGCAGCAGCGTTGTCACTGGAGGTAGAATTGGTTGTCTGCACTAAAATGCAAGATCTTCTGTTTTATCCCTGTAGAATTTTATCTTGTCACAGTCGCTTATGTGTATGACCCTTAACCTTTTTGGTAATTTGTAGAATAATTTGTAATGTGTGTTTACTTTTGCTCCTCGTTTCATGTCCTCCACAAACTTAAGAATGCATATATTACATTCTGTCAGTTATGAAGTCAACTAAGGGAGCAATCATAGGGAAGTGGTTAAGAGCCGGGGTTCTGACTCAGAGTCTTTGGATTCTAATTTCTGGCTCTGGCACTTACTAGATGTGTGACCTTGATCAAATTACCTAACATATGTATGCCTTAGTTTCCCCATTAGTAAAATGTGGACAATAGTATTTACCTCACAGGATTATTGCAGAGATCAAATAGTTAATACATATAAAGTGCTAGGAAGCTATCTAGTAAAGAGTGTTGTAACAATAATATTATTGTGTAATAATATTTAAAATCAATATATATTAATTATATATTAACTAAATATGTATTATACAATTAATTCTATATTCTATGATTATATTATAATTAGTCTATATTCTATAATTATAATTAGTCTGTAATATAGAATTATGTTATATAATTAATTCTAAAGTATAGAATTAATATAGAATGTTATTATTCAATATTATCATTATTATTTATGCACTCTGGGTTTTTTTGTTTTGATCACAATATGAAGAGAGATCCAGATTTATTGGAGTCTAAATATGTTGTATGTTGTCTTTGTCTGATTTAATAGAGACTGGTAGCAAGCCTGTTAAAATTAAAAGGAAATAATGTTAGTCTGATAGAAGTTGTTTTGAATTAATCTAATGTCATTTACCTTCTTTTTGGGGGTCTCTCTTACATTTTTATAAAAAATTTTGAAGTTGAAAGAAGTTTGCAGTAAATACTCTTATATCCATCCACATGAAGATATTGCCTTTAGTATCTTAGTATATTTGTTAATCAAATTTTATTCATCTATTTGTGGCCTTGTGTTTAGTAGTCCATCTTACTTTTGATGCATTTCAAGGTAAATTGCAGCCGTTAATACATTTTCCTCCTAAATACTTTATCATACAATATCATTAATAGAATTCAGTGTTTTACTTTTTTTTCTTTTGAGGCGAAATTTCCATGTAATTAAGTACACAAATTTTAAGTGTTCTTTGCCTGAATTTTGACTTTGTGTTGCACAAGTATATATGTATTCTGTATGCTCCTTCAGAGTCAGTTGCCTAAAACATCAGAAGCAACCATTGTTTTGTTTTCTGTACGAGAGATAAGATTTTTTTCTTTAAGAATTCCACATAAAAGGAATCATACCACATGTACTTTTTTTGTGTGAGACTGTTTTTATTCAGGTTAATGGTTTCAAGATACACCATGTTTTTGCTTGTCTTAGTGGTCTTTTTAAAAAATGTTTATTCATTTTTGAAAGAGAGAGAGAGAGTACAAGTCGGGGAGGGGCAGCGAGAGAGGGGCTGACAGAGAATTCGAAGCCGACTCTGTGCTGCCAGCTCGGTGCAGGGCTCGAACTCATGTACTGTGAGATTATGACCTGAGCTGAAGTCGGACATTCAACCGACTGAGCCACCCAGTTGGAAATAAAAATGTTCTTATTTTTAATTACTCAGTAGCACTCTATCGTTTGAGTGAACCACAGTTTGCTAAGCCATTTTCCTATTTATGGTCACCTGGGTTGCTTTTAGTTTTTGTTTGTTTGTTTTATATTTTGTACAGAATTT